GTTATTTATTTATTTGACAGATAGAGATCACAAGTAGGCAGAGAGGCAGGCAGAGAGAGAAAGGAGGAAGCGGGCTCTCCACAGAGCGGAGCCTGGGTGGCTCAGTGGGTTAAGCCTCTGCCTTTGGCTCAGGTCATGATCTCAGGGTCCTGGGATCCAGCCCCGCATTGGGCTCTCTGCTCAGCAGGGAGCCTGCTTCCCCCCCCTCTCTCTCTGCCTGCCTCTCTGCCTACTTGTGATCTCTCTCTGTCAAAGAGATAAATAAAATCTTTAAAAAAAAATTCACAAATATTGAAAATTGCTTAGTTCCTATAGGCAATTATTAGGTACCAAGTTCAGACATCCCAACCTAGCCCTATCTCCTACAGACATCCCTTTTTCATTCCCCTTCTCATTTCACTCTCATGCAGGCCCCTCCCTGCCTCTACTTAGGAGTACTAAATTAGCATCCTTACAGAGGTCCCTCATCTCAAATTCATCCTACGCAACACTGTCCATTTAATTTTCAAAAGCACTACTCTGGGGATGCCTGGGTGGCTCAGTTGGTTAAACCTCTGCCTTCAGCTCAGGTCATGATCCCAGTCCTGGCATCGAGTCCCACATCGGGCTCCTTGCTCAGCAGGGAGCCTGCTTCTCTCTCCACCTCTGCCCGCCACTCTGCCTGCTTGTGCGCTTGCACTCTCTCTCGCTCTCTCTGATGAATAAATAAAATCTTTTTAAAATTTTTTTTAAAAAGCACTACTCTGTATTGCCTCCTTAATCAAAAATCACCAGTTCTCCCATTGCCTGCCAAATGAAGTACAAAATCTGTATTCTAGCATTGTCTTTCATCTGCTAAATCCAGCCCTAACCTACTTTTCTAATCTTATCTCCACCACTTTCCTATACACATTTACATTCCAACTAACTAGCCTGAAAAGTGCCCCAATGCTCCTTTATCTATAACTCTGCCTGGAATGGACGTCCTCCTTGCCTGACAATCCTCCCATCCTAGCACTGTCCTTATTAGCTCAAACACTACCTTGTCCATGTACTAGGCACCACTAGGGATAGAAGAAAGCTATACATCAGGGATGCCTGGGTGGCTCTGCAGGTTAATGTCTGATAGGTGTTTTTGGCTCAGGTTCGTGAGATGGAGCTCCACATTGGGCTCAGCCCTGGGCGTGGAGCCTACTTAAGATTCTCTCTCTCCCTCTGCCTCTGCAACACCCCCAATGCCTGCCCAGTGTGTGTGTGTGTGTGTGTGTGTGTGTGTGTGTGTGCACTCTCTAATAAAAATTAAAACAAATAAGATATAAATCACATTGCCTGCCCGCAATTAGCTTATAGTCTGGGTAGAAAGACAAGCAATAAATGTGTCCATAAGAGGTCCCTTGATTCTTTACCCCACTCCCCAAAATGTTATGCCAATTTTCCCATCCTCGTTAATGATACTTCTGTTCTTCCAGGTCAAAAAACACAAAGTCAGTCCTGCTTGATTCCTGTTTCTTTAACTCCACACCCTTCATCCATACACATATATTCCATCAGCAAAACGTTTTAAATATTACCCAGACCAACAACATCTTACCATCCTGGTCCGGGTCACCATTACGGCTCACTGGCATTACCGTAATTACCTCCGAGTTTGTATCTTTGCTTCCATTCTTGCCTCTACATGCTCTTCTCCAAATACAAGAACAAATAAGACAGTTACTTCCTCCCAAGAGTTTACAATATAATTCCAATCTGCAGAGCCTAACTATTCATTAACAGGAACATACATTAATTAACATTAGAGGACTCCATTCTGTGGAGTCCTGGGCTGAGCCAATCTCCCAGTGTCTCTGAGAGATGCTTACAACAGAAGGCTCCAGCATCTAGGAGACCAAAGTTTAATCACAGCGGAGAGGTTACTAGTGAAGACTGTGAAGAAGTAACAATGGGAGAAGGAACATGGGCTTTAGAGTCAGACAAACCCAAGTGTGAACTCTAAATCTGACATTAATTAGTTCCATGACTTCAACAGTAGAGTCAACCATGGAATAAATGTCATCATGATGAAACCAATACCAATTATCGAGCACTTTCAACTCACCCAAGCTAATAAATAGTGGTCTGAGTCCAAAAACCACTCTCGTAAGTTGACTTAATGAGATAATACATATTGGGTTAAAGAAGAGGAATTGGCAGTAGGGAAAAAATATAAATAGGACACTGAACTTCAATTGCATCTTCACGAGCAAAGCATCTAAAGCACAAGATACTGTTTTGTTAGTTTTCCTAGTCATGACTCAGGAAAATACGGTACAACATCAAAGGTCACCAATCACATTATAGTCTATGAGTTTAAGTGATAGAGCCCCAAGTTTCTTTAGCATCAACCAACATTGGCTAGAGTCACAAGGTAAAGATTTCACAAAAAAACACAGTCCAGAAAGGACTACAAGTTACAAATTGGTCTTTTCAAGATTTTATTTGAGAGAGAGAGAGAGAGAAAGTGCACACAAGCAGGGGGGATGGGCAGAGGGAGAGAGAAGCAGACTCCCTGCTGAGCAGGGAGCCCGATGCGGGGCTCCATCCCAGGACCCTGAGACGATGACCTGAGCCGAAGGCAGAGGCTTAACCGACTGAGCCACCCACGCACACCCAAATTGGTCTTTTTCATCTGCACCTGCACCCATACCCACACGGTAAATTTACTAGTAAATTTAGTAAATTTACTAAACTACCGAGGTGTTACATGTAGCCTTTGCTGAATCTCCTTCCTAAACTGGGACTGCATTGATGCCACCTGCTGCTGGGTGAGGGCCTTGTCACATGTCTGGTAAGTCAGTCTATAGCAGAGACTGACCTGTTGAGTCTCTGGATGCTGGAAACTACTAAGGAATTGTATGGATATGACAGTGTCCTGGGACACTGCTCGGGCCACTGTGTGAAACTCTAGTTCATCAAATTCTTTCTTCTCATCTAACCAAAAACTAATATCATGCACATAGCATGGGGGATACAGGGAATAGCTTTTAAAGGATTCTATTTTCCCAGGAACAAAATGCTTCAGGAAACGGTGGTCAAAGGTCCACAACATCCTCCAGTCAGAGATACCCCAGACAAGCATGGCTA